TTATCATTTTTAAAGAGTGTATTCTTGTTATAAAAAAAAATGTTTGCTGTGAAACAGTAGGCCGACAGCAGACTCATACATACCATGTCCAGTTGCATCATTTTCTCTTGTACTTGACTTAATTTCATGCTGCTTTGTACAGTAATATGTTGTGCAGGCTTGTGGCCTGGGAGCAATAGGCTGCACCATATAGCCTAGGTGGGTAGTAGGTATACAATCCAGGTTTGTTTAAATATAATCAATGACATTCACAGGACAAAATCACCTAATGACGCATTTCTCAGAATGTGTCCCTGTCATTAAGCAACACATGACTGTAATGCTTTATTATTTTAACAAATAAGTTGTAGAGATACAGGAAAATAATTGATTAAATAACTCATTTCAGTATTTCCCCATGTTAACACACCTATGGGAAATCTAGTTGCTTGAACCACAAAAACCATAACAGCACTACTATAACTCTAAAGGAAAATAAACTACCTTGTAAACATATAACTTCCTAGGATCTAAACTTGCAAATTTGAGCCAAAATAAGTTATAACTAGTGTTGCAAACATTTAAGGTAGCAAACATCATCCTTACAAAAGCTGGAAAAACTATTTTCAAAAATATATGTTTTTATTAATTTCAGAGAGGAAAGGAGAAGAAGAAAGAGGTAGAGACATCAGTGATGAGAATCGATCGACTACCTTCTGCATGTCCCACACTGGGGACTGAGCCCGCAACGTGGGCATGTGACTAGGAATCAAACGGTGACCTCCTGGTTCATAGGTTGATGCTCAACCACTGAGCCATGCCGTGTGGACAACTATTATTTTTTTTTATCTTCAAAAAAGTCTTTACTGTTGTATGAGGCATTCTAGATTGCAGTTATGCTTTATAATTTTTAAATAGAGGAGATAGTTCATTGAGCTAAATTTTGGGAAGAAGGATATTACATTAATAACAATTTCATGTGCAGGAAAAGTTATTTTATGAAAAGCTGAGGGTAGGCTTTTCTCATAAATTAAAATATATTGTAAACAGCAATTCTTGCCACTTGATGTTTTAAATTTAGACCCAATCTTATACCTCAGAATATAAACTAATTTAACAAATAATTTTTGAATACCTACTATATGCTCAATATATACAGACTAGAGGCCTGATGCATGAAATTCGTTCAAGAGTAGGCCTTCCTCCCCCCAGCTGCCAGCACCGGCTTCCCTCTGGCACCCGGGATCCAGGCTTCCCTCACAGACCTGGCTTCATCCGGAAGGTCATCCAGAAGGACGTCTGGTCTGATTAGCATATTCTTTTATTACATAGATTATTACATAGAATTTAATGGGAAGTTAGATAACTTGTCTCTTACAGGAATAAAAGAAAAAAAGGAAAAAGAAAAGTAGTTAGAGGCAATAACATGTAGCACTAGTGGCAACCTTCTCTTTTAAATAGTCTCCTCTTTTGGCTTCTAGCTTCCGGGTTTCTCTCACCAGTTCTGCTTCTGGACTCTTCATAATTTGGGGAGAAAATAATAAAACCATAGAATCAGGCTCTTTGGTTTCACTACAAATATATGCTGTGCAACTTCAGGTAGACCTTCATTGTCAATTGTCAATCATTTTTCCCTTAATTTCATATCGGTATCTTTCTACGTATTTATCTATCTCTATCGAGAGAGACAGACAGAATCAGTATGTGCCAGCAATATTGCATATGTAAGGAATAAAGTCTCAAATAAGAAAATATCTTTAGGCCCCTTACCATATTCCAACAACACCTAGACCAGTGATGGCGAACCTATGACACGCGTGTCAGAGGTGACACGCAAACTCATTTTTTTTGGTTGAGTTTTCTTTGTTAAATGGCATTTAAATATATAAAATAAATATCAAAAATATACAACTTTGTTTTACTATGGTTGCAAATATCAAAAAATTTCTATATGTGACATGGCACCAGAGTTAAGTTAGGGTTTTTCAAAATGCTGATACGCCGAGCTCAAAAGGTTCGCCATCACTGACCTAGATCAATGGTTTTCAATTGGAGGTAATGTTGCCTCCCAGGGGACATTTCAGTCATGTCTGAAGATGTTTTTGATTGTCAGAACTGGGGAAAAGGTGCTACTGGCATCTACTAGGTAGAGGCTAGGATGTTGCTAAACATCCTATATGAAGAGGAAAGCTCTCTCATCTCCCTAGGAAAGAATTATCCAGCCCCAAACATTAATAGGGCCAAAGTTAAGAAATCCTGCTCTAAACCAACTAAACACCCAAGCATTTCCACACGCCTCTAGTCGTGCATACAAAACCTGTCTCATTCCCTGCAGATGACTTCACGTACTTCTTGGATGGGAAATTGCCTTCCTTCACTTTTCTCTTTTCATCTCAAAATGTCTGTGTAACCTCATTTGGCATTTTCTTATTCTCTTCTTTCTGTGAATAGCTGTCTTTCTTTCCCAAACTGTTACCTTTCAATATTTATGCCCTATCTTATTCCCCAAATTATTTATGCTACCTACAAAAAACACATTGTGTATCAGAATAAAAGCAAATTAGAAATTAGGCAGAGAGTATTATTTTCCTTGGATCCTTTGTCTCATCTCTACTCACCTCCAGAATTTAGTTCGTAGATTATTTCTTCTCATGTATATACTAGAGGACCAGTGCATTTGTGCACTTGGGGGGGTGGGGGGGAGGGTGTGGGCGGGATCCCTCAGCCTGGCCTGCACCCTCTCACAGTCCAGGAGCCCTCAGAGGATGTCTGACTGCCTGCTGCGGAGGCAGGAGAGGCTCCCGCCACCACAGCTGCGCTCGCCCGCCATGAGCCTGGCTTTTGACTGAGTGGTGCTCCCCCTGTGGGAGTGCACTGACCACCAGGGGGCAGCTCCTGTGTTGAGTGTCTGCTCCCTGGTGGTCAGTATGCATCATAGCAACCGATAGTTCTGCCATTCGGTTGATTTGCATATTACCCTTTTATTATATAGGATCTTCATTCTCTCCCATATAATGTGTTTTCCCTCTGTGTCTAAAATGTGCTTAATTATAATCTATCCTAAAACATTCTCTAAAACTTGTGCTTTTTAACTTTTTTGTATCCCCCAGGACTCTTAAACTACTGGAATTTTCTTCTAATTATTCTCCCAGCCTGTAATCTAACCTGCATAGTGCTGTAGAATTTAGATTATGTCCACTGTGCTCATCAGAGTCCTTTAGTAGTCAATCAATGCCTGTACGTGATACCAAATCAAGCTTCAAGTAATTACAAGAGCTATGCTTGGAACTTGGCTTCAATTAGTATTAGTATCTCCATCAAATAGATGAAAGATGAGGCTTAGAGAGGTTAAGTGACTTGCTCAGAACAACATAGCCAGGAAGTGAGGAGTCAGGTTTCAAACCCAAGCCAGTCTTATGCCAAAGTCTATACATTTTATACAGCTTTTCATTCCCTAAGGAAATAAGTCCTAACTCCTTAGTTTGGCCTCTAGGACCCTGTAATCTGGCTCCAAACTTTTTCTAGTTATTGCTGACCTTCACACACCACACACTTTTGTTAAAGTGCTGTGCTCTGCTACCTCTGTAGTTTTCTCCCCCCTTCTATTTGCTCCCTCTCATATCATACTCTCTATGTTATCCTTCTCACACTTCTATAGAGGTCCAATACCTACCCACCTTTCAAAGCCCAATTCAAGCTTCCCAGCTGAATTCTCTAATCTTCTCTGATTCTCTCTCTCTCTCTCTCTTCTCTCTCTCTCTCTCTCTCTCTCCCTCCCTCCCTCCCTCCTCCCTCCCTCCCTCTCTCCTGGTGGAGTTTTTTCACCTTCAAACTTTGTTATTAGTAGTAACATATTTGTTTAGGATTTTGCAAACACTTTCATATATGGTAAGAATCTGGCAAAGGGTAGGAGCTCAATAAATGTACTTGTTTTGTTCTAATCTTCATAGCAATTCTCCAAGGTAGTATTATACTTTACTAACAGAAAAAACCCACCTGAGGCTCAGAGTGGTCAGGGGTCCGGCCAAAAGGAAGTGTTCTAGAATGACCCAAACTAACCCAAGAGCTATGGCTCTAGGTGACGGTTCTTTCTACTATACTTCCCATGACTTCAGAGTTTTGTTCTCCCCTAGCTGAGTATGCATGTTTATTAAATACATGCTGAATGAACGAGTAAATGACTGTTATGAACATACTCTTTCAGATAGTCATAGAGATTTATTTATTTGCCACCAAGAGTAAGAGCACTTTAGGATGTGATTCATCCTCACACATAGAATTTAATTGCTCATTTAAGCAGAAGGAAAACAAACCATCCTGCTCTGATAAAAAAAAAAGCTTAGGCAGCAAGAGGTTGAAGTCTGTATTACCCACTTAAGGACAACAGTGCCACACACCTTTAACAAATATTGTTATACGTTATTTCAATTCAGTAGGTGGGCCCAGCCCAGCAGCCTGTCTTCCTCTCATACCTGGACTTTAAGACAAAACAAAAAACATGAAAGACTGCTAGAGAGGTTCAACAGCCTTTCTTTAGCCAGCTGATCTGAGATGCTGCAAAGAGAACCTTTCAGACCACAAGTTTGTGAGCCTTTTCCAAGTATGTGGTTGTTTCTGTTTACATGAATGGCCCCATATTGTCGGTGCCCAGCCCCTGCCCTTCTGTGGATCCCCTGTGTTGCTTTGGTGTTTTTGTTCCCATTTCTAGCAAAACAACTCTGGAACCTCATTGGAGCTGTTTTGCTTTGGAAAGTTCTCGTTGGTGGGAACAGAGCTCTGAAAAACGTTCTGCTCCCGGATGGACGATGCGCCTGCAGATCTTAGACATCAGTGGTGGCAGAACCAGTGCCTTTGTGGGGCCGCCTCACCAGCAGCAGGGAGGCGACGCCATGTAAACGGTCTTACTTTCCTGTCACCCACGCCCCCTCATTTCTTCTCCATCAGCTTTTATCATTTCAGCATTCTCTCTGGTCCATCAGAGCCTCTTGGGTTCACGATGACAAATAGTTCTGGGCGGAGGTTAGGCTGCTGCATGCCATTGGGCCTCTGTAGGTTCTGCACATAGCAGCAGCCTTTATCAGTGCAGCGTTTGCAGGGTGCTGCTTAAACTATAGAGTGGGGCAGACACAGCAGCTCTTTTGGATCTGAAAAGTGTTTCTGATTTTGAATTGAGAGTCTTTGGAGAAGCCTAATGATTAGTGTTGTCAAGGTCAAAAATGCTAAAAAGAGAGCGGGATCTTTTAGTCTTGGCTACAGCACTCACGGCATGAACAGTGCTCCATGAGGACGTCTTCATTCGGGATTTGCTTGTTTGTTTGCTTGTTTTTTCACTTCTGACCCTGACGTCTCTGGCTGCAGATTTGATGTGGTTCCTCCCTAACCTGTGCACCCTGTTAATAGGTACTGTACCGGGCTCTGTCTGTCACTGGGGTGGGACCTGTATTAAAACATAGGTATTGAAATGCTGTACTAACATACCGTTCCTAACATTTCATTTTACTAGCAAGAAATCTTTGATTTCATTTTATTCTAGACACTAGATTGTAGTTTAGCCATACTGACATTTCTAAAAAAGGGATATATTTTCTTGCAGAGTGTTCAAAAAGAGATATGTTTCAGTCCTCAGTGCTGCCCTTCTACAGGTACAAGTTTTCTAGCTGAGAAAACTAAGATAAACTGTAGGCTGCCTCAAGTTCTTACGGGTCTGTGCCCTGGGCTGTTTCTCTGAGCTGCCGACAGTGGGACTGTGATGGTACAGTGTGCACAGGGACTGTTCCGACAGACTGGGATTTTCTGTACTGAAACCTTATTTAATATCAAAAGTTAAACTATAGTACAATAAATAAAGGTCAATTTCTGTAAAAAATAAAATAGTAGGAAGAAAATTGAGAGAATAATATTTCAATTTTTGTTTTTATGTAGCCACATTTATCATTCTCTTCCTTACTGTTCCTACTTTCAGGGTCATGCTTACAAAGGCCACCTCCATCCCTAAGATTGTACAGATATTTAAATATATTTTCTTCTCCTGATTTTCCTTTACATTTAAAATCTCTGGAATTTTGTGTGTGTGTGTGTGTGTGTGGCATGAAATAGGTTTATAATTTAATATTTTTCTTCCATAGTTTAGTGATTCATTTATTGATTTTCCCTTCTCAGTTTAACACATCTTTATCATATACTCCCATATACTAAATTCTGATGAAGTTATAAATATATAAACTTTCTAGGTGTGTAATTTGTTCCATTGATGGTTTGCTCCTGAGCTATCTTTATTTACTAATACTGTTTTAATTATTAAAGTTTAAACTTCTGGGTGGCATATTCATTCACTACTCTTCTTTTAAAAAATATTTCTAAGGTTTATTCTTTTTAAAAAAATATATTTTATTGATTTTTTTACAGAGAGGAAGGGAGAGGGATAGAGAGTTAGAAACATCGATGAGAGAGAAACATCGATCAGCTGCCTCCTGCACACCTCCTACTGGAAATGTGCCTGCAACAAGGTATATGCCCTTGACCAGAATCGAACCTGGGACCTTTTAGTCCTCAGGCCGATGCTCTATCCACTGAGCCAAACCAGTTAGGGCAGGTTTATGCTTTTTAAAAAAAATATATATATTTTTTATTGATTTCAGAGAGGGAGAGAGAGATAGAAACCTCAATGATGAGAGAGGATCATTGATCGACTGCCTCTTGCATGCCCCTCACTGGGGATTGAACCGGCATGTGCCCTTGACTGGAATCAAACCAGGGACCCTTCAGTCCGCAGGCCAACGCTCTACCCACTGAGGCAAACCTGCTAGGGTATCTAAGGTTTATTCTTAAAAATAAACATAAAAATATTTTTTTCAAGATCCCACATTTTTTCGTACTGGGATTCTGATTGAGATGGAGTAAAAGTTATAATTTGGAGAACTGCCACATATTAATATAGTCTTCAAAATCAATGAACCTGATATGGTCTTCCATTTACTCAAGTCTTCTCTCATTTCTCCTAGTGGTTCTATAATTTTACAATTCGTGTGAACACTTTAATAGAGCATGGTGCTTTAGAGCATACATGCACGAACAGACTGCATGGGTCCCAAACTCAGCTATGCCATGTACTACCCACGTAACACCTTTGTGTGCTTCATTTTCCCCTCCTATAATATGGGGATGATAATAATAGTTCCTCCTGGAGTTATTGTGAAGATTAAATGGGTTATGTATGTAAAGTGTTTAAACAGTATCTGACATGTAGTGCCATGTAAGTACTACTTATTATTCTATTAGAGGCCCTATGCACAAAATTCGTGCAAGAGTGGGCCTTCCTTCCCCCAGCTGCTGGCACTGGCTTCCCTCTGGCACCCTGGACCCGGGCTTCCCTCTGGCTCTAGCTCCGGCTTCGTCCAGAAGGACATCCAGAATGATGTCCGGTCTAATTAGCATATTACCCTTTTATTATTATAGATGTGTATACATACTATCTGCACTTCATGTTTCTTATTAAATATATTAGTGCTTTATATACTGTTACTACAAATGGGTTTTTTAAAATTGTGAAGTACAATATCAATAAACACTAAGCTTTGAAATGTCAGCCTCCAGAGGGCTCTGCTTTCTTGTGAATTACTGTCATTTCTCACAGCTTCCTTTTAAAGAATTTTGTGTTACTAAGAGGCAAGTGATGAAACAGAAAATGAATGTCTGATTTCAAAATGCTTTTGAAAGGTCAAGTAAGATAAATAAACTCAACAGATGGTCCATTGAAAATACTAACAGAACAAACAATCCTCTTGCAAAACTGATGAAAGAGAAAACAGCTGAAAATGCAAAAAAAAAAAGAAAAAAGAGGAATTAACAGAAAAATTTAAACATCCAAGACGTTTAAAACTTACAGGAATACTCAAAGTTTAACCTGTCAATAAAGTGGAAGTTTTGACAAAGTAGAATATTATCTAAGAACTATAAATTACGTAAATTGATACAAGAAGAGCAGAAAAACTTAAACTGATCACTAACAGTAGAAGAAATGGGGCTGCCACCAAAGTTCTACCTCTGAAAAGACACCAGGTCAAGATGCTTTTAAACATGGATTCTATCAACAGTTTTAGGGACTACATTATTAACAGAACATTGAGAAACATGGAAAACTTTTTAACATATTCTACAACTAACAACTATGAAACCAAATTAGTAAGAAATAGCAGAAGAAAAGGAAAAACTGTAGGCCAATCTTAATAATGAAATAATGGCAAAAGTACTAAATAACATGAGCAAAATGATACAGCAGCATTTTAATAGTTAAATGTACCATGATCACATAGATTATATCCAGGAATGCAGAGATAATTAAGACACACATATCTTTCGACTTATAGCTAAATAATGAGTAAATTTTTTAAATATTTTGTCCTTTTCTCCCCGAATAGTATCCTACTTTGCTACTTTGTTGATCATCCCTGCCTAGAACATTTCTTACTTTTCTTCTCCATCCAGCAAACTTCTGCTTTTCTTTAAAGATGCAGTTGGTATCACTTCTGGGTCTCTTTCTCTGACCCCTCTTCACCTGAGACTAAGAAGCTGCTATTCTTGTGTTCATCCACAATACCCTGTATTTACCTCTATTGCAGCGCTTACCATACTGTTTAGTAATTGCTAGTTAACTTGTTTGTCTCCCCTACCAACCTGTGAGCTCTTGAGACACAGTCCATTTATTTGTTTTCTGGAAGCCTGGCACATAAAATCTGGCAGACTCGATTGAAAAATAGACACAGAACCAGACTGAAGTAAAAATGTTAGCTAATTACATACTATAAAAGCTGTATAGGAGGACATGATTTTGATGTATGTCTAAACTGGACTTCCTCATATGCCACCTTAAAATTAAACTTCCCTATCATGTTGCAGGCAAATTGGACCACCTCAGGCCTCCCTGGAAGACACAGCTTCTTACCACATGGCAGAGAACAGGCCGGTGTTAACCTTGTCTGTAGAGAGCCAGAAGATGCTGAACCGTGCGTTTCCCATTTCTTCTCCTAAAGGTACTAACAGTTAAGTCATCCCTACCAAAGGCGAATGAAGGGGTGACGATAAAGGCCAGGAATATTATTCTAACTGAAGTTCTGATGGAAACCTGTAGTGGATACCACTCTTCCCCCCCCCAAAAAAAAAACCTCCAGTAATATCTACCTAATTTATGTTTTCCTTTAGGACTTAGCTGCCTAACACTTCAGTGAGAAATTTCAATTGCAGCAACTATATTTAGCCTAAGTGTTCTAATATTAGCAGGTCTTTGTTCTTTAATTTATAATTTCATTTGTATGTGTCCTCAAATTTCTGTTGAAATAGGTAGGGTAAAATAGTGAGCAAAAGCACATAAAATTTTCTCACAAATTTATTTGCATTCTGTTATGTTCTCAGTGTACTGAAGATTGCTTTCCAGGCACTCTTAACAAGCTGAATGGTTCCTTGTGTAGCCTCATGAGATCAAATAAGAAGGAATTGTCATCTCCATGTATTCTGGATCTCTTCAACCTAATCACATGCTCTGCTAATACTGGCGGACAGGGAAGGGCCTGCAAGAGGAAGAGAATGAGGATGTTCTTGACATACGAGCACTGTACATTCACTTAGCATTTGCCAGGGTAGCTTTTTTTCTCTACTACCGATACAACTAGTAGGTAAATAAATTCTGGGGATCTAATGCACAGCATACTGATTATAGTCAACAATACTGTATTATATACTGCAAAATTGCTAAGAGATTAGATCTTAAATATTCTCACTACAAAAAAGAAATGATAATTATGTGATGTGATAGAGGTGTTAGCTAAAACACCTCTATGGTGGTAATCATATTGCAGTATATCATGTATATATCAAAATCAACACATTATACACCTTAAACTTATACAGTGTTACATGTCAATTATATTGTAACTAGAGGCCCAATGCATGAAATTTGTGCAAGGGGGTTGGCCCTCGTAGCCCCGGCTTTGTCCGGAAGGACATCTGGAAGGTCGTTCGGATGTCTGGTCTAATTAGCATATTACGCTTTTATTATTATAGATAAAAATATATAATAATTTGTTTTCACCTGCTGATGGACATTTCAGTTATTTCTAGTTTTGAGCTTTTCCAAATAAAGCTGCTATAAATGTTTGTGTAGGAGTGAATGGCTAGGTCTTATGGTTTGTGTATGTATACTTTTTTATTAAGATATAATTGACATGTCACATTATATTAGTTTCAGGTGTACAACATAATGATTCAATGCTTGTATATATTGTGAAATAAACGCCTAAGTCTAGTTAACATCCATCACCACACATAGTTACAATTTTTTCTTGTAATGAGAACTTTTAATATCTACTCTTTTAGCAACTTTCAGATGTATGATACAGTATTGATTTCAGAGAGGAAGGGAGAGGGAGAGAGACAGAAACATCAATGTTGAGAGAGAATCATTGATCAGCTGCCTCCTGCATTCCCCCCACTGGAGATCTAGCCCAAAACCTGGGCATGTGCCCTGACTGGGAATCCAACTGAGACCTAGTTCACAGGTTGATGTTCAGCCACTGAGCCACACTGGCCGGGCTACAATACAGTATTATTAACTATAGTCACCATTCTGTACATTACATCCCATGACTTATTTATTTCATAACTGGAAGCTTGGAAATTTTGATCCCCTTCAACCATTTCATACATCCCACCTCCACTTAAACCCTTCCTCTAGTAACCACCAGTCTGTTCTGTATCTATGACTTTTTTGTTTTGTTTTTTAGATTCCTTATGTAAGTGAAATCATACAGTATTTATCTTTGTCTGACTTACTTAACTTAGCATAGTACCCTTAAGGTCAATCCATGTTGTTGTAAATTGCAATATTTCTTTCTTTTATATGGCCAAGTAATATTCTGTTGTGTATATTTACACTACATTTTCTTATCCATTCATTCATTGATGTACACTTAAGTTGTTTCCATGTCTTGGCTATAAAACCCTAATATGCAAACAGACCCAATGGCAGAACAACCGAACAACTGGTCACTAATTACGTGTGCTGATCACCAGGGAGTGCGTGTGGAACATGGTGGGTGTCAGCAGCAGGTGGCAGAGCGCGGAACATGGTGGGCTTTGGCCATGGTGGGATGGTGGAGCAGGTGAGCAGGGATGCCAGACCAAGGTGGGGTGCCAGTCGCTGTCATCGTGGCGAGTCTCTGGTGGTTACTGAAAATTCTTTGCTCCTGCACGCCGTGGTCCCACCCAGTGCTCACACCTGCTGCTGGCACCAGCCCAGCTCACATCCACTGCCAGCACTTGGCGCTGGTCCCAATCACTCGGCGCCATCAGCAGGTGCAGGCAGCGGCTGCCAGCTCTGATTGCCCCTCAGGGCTTCTCCACCTTTCCCTGCTCCTGAGGGGCGATCGGGGCAGCAGCCGCTGCTCACACCTGCTGCCGGCACCAGCCCTGCTCACACCACAGCTGGCACCGGAGCTGCTGCTCATACTTGCTGCTGGCGCCCAGCATTGGTCCCGATCGCTCCGCGCCATCAGTGGGTGCAAGCCGCAGCTGCCGGCTCCACCTCCCCCTGAGGGGTGATTGGGGCAGCAACTGCTGCTTGCACCTGCTGCTGGTGCCGACCCCAATCGCTCCGTGCCATCAGCGTGTGGAAGCGCGGCTGCTGGCAGACAGGAGACCGGGGGCCACGGAGGGAGGGACCGGGCGGGGGCACGAAGGATGAGCAGAGACTCACCCCTGTGCCCACTGGAGCCTTGTGGCCCGCAGTTCCTTTTAAGCTGCATGAATTCATGTACTGGGCCCCTAGTTGTAAATAATGCTTCAATGAGCATGGGGGTGCGTATATCTTTTCAAAAAGAAGGTTAGACATAAATAAAAATTTTGACTTGCTGAAATATAATCCTTTATAGTTAAAAAAAATACTACATTGACCAATAGAACTTTGGAGATGAGATTACAAATAAAGTAACCATATAAGTTATTGTCCAAATCTGAAACTTTTAAGAATGGAAGAAGCAAATTAATCATAATTGTAGGGCAACAGGAACAAACTGAGTTTAGTCACCCTAATTATAAAACCACATTTTGTGTGAACATGCAGGATTTCACAAGTGGAGGAAGAAGGAGTTCTGGAGAGTCTCTCTGCATTTACTGTCTCACTTTCCTTCATTGCCCTAAAGTTTCCCAGTGACTCCTCCAGTATCCCCAGCCACTTTTTCTCATTCTTGTACACTAGAATTTGAGCTGAATTCAACATGGAAATAAAACACTCAAAGCAGTTTGACACATAGTGGAATCTAGTTGACATACAACATTGTGTATGTTTAAGGTGTGCACATGTTGATTTGGTATATTTATATATTGCAATATGATTATCACTCTAGTGTTAGCTAACACCTCTATCACGTCACATAATTACCATTTTTTTTCTGTGGTTGTGGCGGAAAGACTGTCCCGTGAAGTGACCGCTGCCTGAGAGCTGCTGGACCTGCCAGCTAGATCAGGGGCAGAACAGACATTGCCTCCCTTAAATCCCCTCGGAGCCCGTCTGATCCACCCCTCCCCAGTGCCCCAGAGCCTGCTGGTGTGTGCTTCTTCATTGAGCTGGCTGTTGCCCCACCCAGGACAAGCATGGTAGGCATTTCCCCTTATCTGGGGCAGGTACCCTATCCGTCCTGCTCTGTCCTATATATCACCTCTTAGCGTCTGCCACGCTGTGTGGAGGATATCCATGTTGTCTTGCCGCTGCTCAGGATGCGCCTCTTATGTCAGTTCCCTTAATAAACTCTTAATGTAATGACAGAATTGTCAGTTTCTCCTCTGGTCTCTCAGCCCCAGGAAATTTTCCCAACAGTGGTGAAGGGATTCTTGAGTCTATCCTATGTGGCAATCACATGGCTTTCATATCTCCCCCCAAAAAAGAGAGAACAAGTCTTCCTTATTCATAAATTTGCATATCTGTGCTGAATGCTTTAGATGTATAAACCAAGTATATCACAAGACATGGTTATGTCTCACTAAGATTAAAGAAAGAAGGAAACCTGTGGCGGCCAGCCCAGTGCCCTCTGGGGGCTTCAAGAAAATGTCAGTAATTTCACATCAGATAGAAAGGTCAGAGAGAGTAAGCAATACTCTCAAACAAGTTGAAAACTGGCTTTTACAGTGGGAAACAGTGTGTCCTATCCATAAATAGGACAAATCCTTGTCTTAAGTTCTTGGTATGAATGAGAGAGGGGAATAAAGTCATCTCCTAGTAGCATCTCCATATTGATTGCAGGCACACGAGAGTCATTGTCAAAGGAAAGAGGGGGCAGTCTTTTGAGAAACACTGTAATTAATAGCAGTGACTTAAAGAAGATCCAACCTGGGACTTGCTGTGAATCAGGGACTGTTCTGAATACTTTTCATATATTATCTCAGGAAAAACCTGGGCTTGGACTCATACATTTCTGAGTCTGAGTTCTGGTTCTGTCACCTCATAGCTGCGTGGTCATAAGAAGGCGGCTCTAAGCTCTCATATTAACTTCTTTCACATGTAAAATATCCTTAAGGTAGTTGTGGAAGCAGATGAGGAGAGTATGCACAAACACCAGCAGGTGCGGGCGCAGAATGGTGCTTTTCCTCTGTTGGATCCCCTGTGAGCCTGCAGGTGACAGATTGGGACCAACTGAACATTGTCTGAAGGCCAGGGAGTATATAGCTGTTCTGATATCACAGGATATGGGATATTCACATGAACGCTCATTAATTTTAAGAAGACTGTGTGCCTCTTTCTGCTTGGGAAAACAATCCCTATTTCTACAAACATGGAAGCAGAGAGTCTGGTACGATTCACCAAAGCCAAAGAATAAGATGATGCATTTCCTTTCAGGGTCCTGAGATTTAAGATTGTGTTAAGATGGATGGAGAGGTATCTAAGTGTCTCCACGACAAAGAAATGTTGATTTCTTATGAACTGGCACTTGCTGAAAGAGACTGACCCTTATCTGGTTTCCTTTTGTCAAAAACTTCAGATATGTGACATTTGCATTTCCATTCGTACAATTACTGGTAAAGCAGGTAGATGGTTGATGTTCATAATTCTTAGTACTAAACGACTTACTAATTACAATAGTCAACAACCATAACCACTTTGGGAGTGAGGCTAGTCCTTATCATTAACCTCATTTTACAAGTGAAGGAAGGAACAGGAGCACAGAAACAGACATAATCTACTCAAAGCCATAGCTCGTTAAGGGCGAGAATAAAGATTAGAATTCAGTGAGCCCTGAATCTCAAATCACAATGCCTGTTCAACCTTTTTAACTTCTGTAGGGATTCAGAATGAGTCACCCGAATAAATGCCTCTGTGGTATGAAGATCATTTTGAGCTAAAGGCAATCAAGACCCAGCAGGCTCAAGAGAAAACTTCTACGCTGTCCCACCCCATCCTCACACACTCACTCAACTAGAAGAATTTGAATCAGGAGCCTTGCCCATAATAAGAGGTTATCAGAGATAACTTTTTATGACCTTCTATAGGGCAGGGCAAACTTCTGTTCTTATTGTCCTGCAATGACTCCTCCCCTCTGAAGGCCCAGGGTGATCCTTAGCTCAGAATGTCATAAATACCTCATTTTCCCATTCTGCCTTCCAGCCTCTCATGTATGTGGTTCTCTGACTCTGTTAGTATATGGGGTTCCTATATATATATGCATGTAATTAAATTTGGTCATTTTCTCTTGTTAATCTGTCTCATAGACAGATTATTAGACCAGCCGAAAGAACCTTGAGGATAGAGGGAAGTTTATTTCTCTCCATACCTTCAACAATTTTATGGTTCTTTTTCATAGCTATGCTTGTGGGATTCAGAGTGGGCTTTGTTGTTGTTTCTTGGTTTATATAATAAGCAGACAAAAAATTATATTTGAATCTATTTCTTTCACTCACACACACACACACACACATTTATTGAGAAAACCTTTTCCTAAGCAATGACTTTTCTGTCATATGTACTGTCAACGTAAGGCATATTCAAATCTATAGAGAATTTTTGTGAGTTTATTTGAGCCAAACTGATGACAGTTGCCAGGAAGCAAAATCTCAAGGAATTGAGAAAATGCTCCAGAGAATGGCAATTTTGCACCTTATTTTATACATTACAATAAAAAGAGAAGACGTTAAATTGGTTACATGAAATCCATTGGTGATAGATTAAGGAGGTGGGAGGAAGCAAAAGGGGTAATGGGGGAGGATCACCTCTGGAATAGGATAAAAGTAAAATGATA